CCTACTCCGGATTCCAGCCCGAGTCAATCGAGCCAGATGCGGCGGCCGAGCGAGCCGGCGCTGCCGCATGTGAGCCGGAATCAGCCCGCGATGCCGCGAGTAGGTTATGCGCTGCGGTCCGGAGCTGGCGCGATTTAATATATAAAACCCTCATATTTGTTAACGTTATTACATCCATTTGTGTTGATATGACAGCAAACACATGCTGAGAAGTTCGGGGGGCGTGGTTGATTTTACGTAAAGCGTTTGGTTGGAAGCTCGACTCTGCTCATTTTCGCGGCTCCTCCTCTGGCTTCATCAGACAGTCCTTCTGCGCATGTCTGGCTCCAATTTCAGCAGTCTTTTGCGACAGTTTGTGCCCGTCAAGCAGGCGTTTTGCCCTCAAGGCGTTCAATGGGAAAAAGGGCTGTCGCGACGTCCATATTTTTTACAGTCATTGACATTAACTAATGCTGTAAAGTGTTACCTCTCTAAAGTACACCTTCATTTCTAAAGAGTCGGTTTTCGGAGGTCAGTGTTTACGTTGTACTGGAATTAACCCTCATGTTCCTATCTCACCCTTACTTTAGTGTTCCCGGTCAAAAATGACCGGTCTGTTTTTATTGCTTTTACATTAGCACGAAAAACCTTTTTCACCACCACATTTTTAATTAACATTCTTTAACTGTGAACACACTGTGAACAATGTGTGTTTAACATGAATTTATAGAATTAGACATGAAATAACTGCAGTGAAAATGCGAATAGGCAGTGAAAATGCATTACAAAATTGAAAATAGATGACAGAAATCAAAATACTTTGTTTTATTACCAATAAACAGCTTGCTAAAATAACTGTCACAGGGTCTGACCAAAGAAATTTGGGCAAAGCACCAACAAACTGTATGCTTTCCTGTGTACTATTGTAGGAAATAGTGAATGAGGGTATAGACTGTGATTACGGACACAGCACTAAAAAAAAAAGTGTTGCATGCAGAACTGTTGCAAACAGTTTATTTGTGTTAAATTTGAACAAACAAATTAATTTTATTAATGTTCAACTTAATTTGTTTGTTTAAATTTAACACAAATAAACTGTTTGCAACAACTTAACGTAAAAAAAATTGAGTAAATCCAAGACATCATCTTTGAATAATTTTATTCAGCGTAGTTATACTCTGGCCATTTTTAAATGAGATGCTAGTGGTCTAATCCAATGAAAAAATGTATGTTAAG